TTTTTTTTTGGCTGTTGCTTTTTGCTTGTGCCGAATTGTGCATGCGTTCCTTTGTCATTTCCTAATAAGCTCTAACTGTTTTCGTAAATAGGGTTAAAATGTACTGCATAGAATTTGGTCTGCTGTAACTCTGTTGGCCTCTTGCGAAACTTTTTAAAGCACTTTCATAAAGTAGAAGAATGGGAGGAACTGCGGGAGCGGGACTTTAATGCAGATCTGTCCTATAATTTTAACATACAATAAAGGATATCACTGCTAATCGGAACTGATACTAAAATCTAGTATTTAGCAAGCTGGAACCAGCAGATGCAGACAGAAGGTTATCAGTAGAAGTTTGGGATTGGGATCGAACATCCAGAAACGACTTTATGGGTTCGCTTTCTTTTGGCATCAGTGAATTAATGGAGGAACCGGTTGAAGGATGGTATAAATTGCTCAGTGCGGTAAGTCTAACTGCGAAAAATAACAAGGCGCTTGGAAATTATAATTACCCATGTGCACCACATGAATTAAATTGTGCTATATTGGCTGGGATTCTGTTCCTGCTTATTAATTTTGAGAAATTGTTTACTGAGCGGTTGCGCCGATCTGTTGTCGGCTATTATGTCGCTCTTACTTAGAGCAGCACCAAAAAAGGGAAAATTTGCTCTTAAAACATTTTGAACAAATTCAAATAGCAATTCGAACCGAAATGCATAATTCAAAGAGCAGCGACGATCCTTTTGTTAAGAGCTTCTGCAAAATGGCTTCTGTAAAATGGGAATCGATACTGCGACAAAATAATTTAGCTCTAGTGGAGCTCTGAACAACAGTATGGTCGCAAGGCTTTCTTGAAACTGAAATTTTCCCGCAGCATGACTTTTATGCGTTTCTGCATATTATGCAAGTGCGAAGATGTTTACTGTTCATGTGTGAGCGAGCCACCAAATGGAAGATGAGCTTCTGCCTAGGCACAGGCGCCTAAAAGGATTAAATTGCATAACCGCAATTACAACCCGATAGTACTGGCGATCTACGGAATGAGTCATGCAAAAATGCATGATCGCACCGGTAAGCCTAGTACGTTGCAGCCTGGATTTCTCTTTAAGTTACTTCTTAGCGGCAACTTTTGGAACAAATTAAATTTTGGTTTCAAAAATGACACTCTGTTTGTAATAAGCTCATAAGAAATATTAGTTGCTAACCACACATCACGCTTATCAACTAAGTGAACATAATAATTCACTAAAAAATTCTTCATCACGATTTTACACTCTGTGCTTTTCAAATGATCGCAAAATTATGTTGTTGATTGCAAATTTGTAAGGCCAGTGTTTAGGAAGAAGGCGAATTTTATAATATAGAGATACCACCGGAAACAGAAGCCGAGATCGAGAAAATCAAGAAGAAAATTGACGAAATGGACATCAATTCTGATAAGGTATTGAGATTTAAAACTGCGCAAAAATTACAAACTGGAATTGTTTCCCGAACTTTGCTCCATAACTTAGTGTTTAGTCGATTCGCATTGTTTAAAGCTTTCTTTTTGCTGGAAATAGGCTTCCAGCACCACTCTGTTGTAGCTACTTTCCTAACCAGAAATAAATGCCCCATACCTTTCACTCGAGGAATAAAAGGTATAAAAAAGGCCGATGGACTCGCTAGTCGAATGTAATTCGCCATTCTTCACCGAAAGTAATTTTGCATATTGTACCAATAATTCTGAGGATCTGGCTCCGGTTCCTCCCAGAGGAAATAAAAAGGGGCCGATG